CATCCATGAACACCAATTAACGTCCAGGAATGCCGACTAGCAGTCAAAAGTCACAATGAAAACTCCTTCATTGCACAACACGTGGACACAATCAACCGTAGTTTTAACAGCAAAACTGTGAGCATCTTGACCAAACCAAGTTGAAAAACATTACACAACTCCTGGAAGCCTGGCACTTAGACAAAGCAGCCATCACCGGACACATAAGAGATAAATAATGTTTACACACCGTTGGAAAGAGACAGGAATTCCTGGAAGCCTGGCATTCAGACAAAGCAGCCATCACCGGACACATAAGAGATATATAACATTTACACACCCTTGAAGAGAGACAATCAAATATAGAACAGACAATGCACTCAGACAAATTAGCCATCAAAGGACACATAGAGCAGGCATCAACGGACACATACAGATAAATAACATTTACACACCCTTGAAAAGAGACAATAAAATATAGAACAGACAATGCACTCAGACAAATTAGCCATCAAAGGATACATCGATATAACTAACGTTTACACACCCTTGAAAAGAGACAATGAAAACTGGAACAGACGATGTAGGGAGTGTAACAGCTGCTATGTAGGACAAACCGCAAAACTGTGAGCATCTTGCCCAACACAAGTTGAAAAACATTAGAGAATTCCTGGAAGCCTGGCGCTTAGACAAAACAGCCATCACCGGACACACAAGAGATAAATGACGTTTACACACCCTTGAAAAGAGACAATAACAACTGGAACAGGCGATGTAGGGACTGTAGCAGCTGCTATGTAGGACAAACAATCGAAAAATATTAGAGAATATTTGGAAGCCTGGCACTCAGACAAAGCAGCCATCCACGGACACATATACAGATAAACGACGTTTACACACCCCTGAAAAGAGACAATACAATCTAGAGCAGACAATGTAGGGATTGTAACAACCACGATGTAGGATAGACAGGTAGAAGGGCAGCAGAACGCGTCCATGAACACAACGGGCAATCGGAAGACAAGATCCCTTTTGTCGACAGGCTATTCATTTCGACACTCGTTGTGGCGTAGGAGGGAGAAAAAAAAACCCCGCACCACAAAGCTGGAGGGTCTTTTTCACTTTGTGCTAACACGTCCGCTTTGCACGCGCTCGGTCGCACACTCAGAATTTCAGAAGTCCCAACGCAAGTCTAAATAAAGAGATTTAGGATGGCACCGAGTTGCGGCTTCGAGTCTCGCGCTTCGACGTCGCACCGTTTCACAGCACAAGCGGAACAGAGCCAATGTATCTCTCTGTGTGTGTGTGTGTCTTTGTGGGTGGGTGTTTGTGGTAACGAGGGTTCTCGTCCTTTCGTTCGGAATGGAAAGCGCCAATCTCTGGTCACGTGGGATATTTCAGGATTATCCATTAATTGGATAATTTGTGGGATTCGTTTTTATCGTTTGAAGTCAAATTTGGTCTAGGCGCAAAAAAATCGGGCCCAAGGGCAGGGAGACGGGAGTTCTAGTCTTGCCTGCAGCATGAAAGTTGGCAGTGAGCTCCAGTTGGCGAGTTCAAATCCCGCCTTAGGCATGGGAGCCAGCTGGGTGACTTTGAGCCATACCACCAGGAGACGGTGTGTTCACACACCTATAGGGTCTCCTGCCTGAGCAGGGGGTTGGACTAGATGACCTCCAAGATCCCTTCAAATTCTGTCATTCTATGATTCTGTAAGGGTCTCCTGCTTGAGCTGGGGGTTGGACTGGATGACCTCCCAGGTCCCTTCCGACTCTGTCCTTCCATGATTCTGTCAGGGTCTCCTGCTTGAGCAGGGGGTTGGACTAGATGACCTCCCAGGTCCCTTCTAACTCTGTTCATCTATGATTCTATCACGTTCTCTTGCTTGAGGTGGGGGTTGGACTGGATGACCTCCAAGATCCCTTCCAACTCTATTATCCTATGATTCTGTAAGGGTCTCCTGCTTGAGCAGGGGGTTGGACTAGATGACCTCTGAGGTAACCTTCCAACTCTGTTTGTCTATGATTCTGTAAGGGTCTCCTGCTTGAGCAGGGGGTTGGACTAGATGACCTCTGAGGTAACCTTCCAACTCTGTTTGTCTATGATTCTGTAAGGGTCTCCTGCTTGAGGTGGGGGTTGGACTGGATGACCTCCAAGATCCCTTCCAACTCTATTATCCTATGATTCTGTAAGGGTCTCCTGCTTGAGCAGGGGGTTGGACTAGATGACCTCTGAGGTAACCTTCCAACTCTGTTTGTCTATGATTCTGTAAGGGTCTCCTGCTTGAGCAGGGGGTTGGACTAGATGACCTCTGAGGTACCTTCCAACTCTGTTTGTCTATGATTCTGTAAGGGTCTCCTGCTTGAGCAGGGGGTTGGACTAGATGACCTCTGAGGTCCCTTCCAACTCTGTTTGTCTATGATTCTGTAAGGGTCTCCTGCTTGAGCAGGGGGTTGGACTAGAAGACCTCCGAGGTCCCTCCCAGCTCTATTCCGATTGGTTGACTACTTCTAACGTCGGCGGGGGAAAGCTGGATTCACAGAGAGACGCCGTGATTCACTTAACAACGAAAATTCTCCAGAAAATCTTCCGGTGATAGAAACGGTCTCCGGGGTTAAACATTTGACGGGTTTTTATAGAGACGATCAGCCCGTCCCCCAAAATAGACCCGGAATTAGAGCAGCTGTTCTAAAAATAAGGTTTTATTTTATATTTTATTGTCTAATTTCTCTCCCTGGCCCCGTATCTCCTTCGGGCAGCCGTTAACCCAGAAACTAGGTTAGTTTGATGGGAGGTTTAAACATAGCTGCAGATGTTCCCAGATGGGGAGTCACAGCGGAAACGTCTAGGTAAGTCCTCGGCTTAATGACGGTCGGCTTCGTGACCGTTCAAAGGGACGACGGCACTGGAACCGGGGTCTTAGGCCCGCGGGAGACACCAGGGGGGTGGGTGCCATCGTCCCCCCCC